AACAAAAGCAAATGGACAAGAAAACCCAGTTCTGGCTGTCTCAATGGGAACATGAGTTCCTGTTCCTGACATACTCTATTAGGTACTTATTCTACAAGGGGCACACAAAATGCAAGGAAGCTTCCAGGAGCTCTGCACCAAAGCAAGCATTCTTGGTGCTGGCAAAGTCTGGGGTGGTTATAAGGAGTGCTGAGTCTGGGGATCCATCTTCCAGAGGCCAGGCTTCTCGCTACAATTTCTGTCTCTATCGGGAGGTACATACCCAGCTCACTGGAAACAGTTGATCAACAGGAAGGAAGACCTGAGCTTCCTGGTAAAATACTTGCACAAGAGAATTCTAAAGCCAATCTGGCCCCAGGTCATGCTAAGATACTAGCAATATTTACCCTTCATGGAACGCTTACTCGGTGCCAGGCACTACACTATGCCCTTTACAAACACTGAGTATTACACACACACACCTGATCATTAAATCTCCTTGTCCTGCTTTCTTTTCTTCTCAGCACTAACCCCTGTCTGATGATCTTATGTATTTTATTTTCTTATGTCTCCCGAACTAGAGTTCTTATGTCTCCCCAACTAGAATATAAGCTCAATGAGAATGGGTACCTTGTCTTTGTTATTCCTTGGTGTATCCACAGCTCCTAGAACATTAAGCAGTATGTGGCAAGACCCCAACTATGTGTGGATGTATAAATGATAAAGCCTGACAACAATTCTATGTGAGGTATGATTGTTTCCATTTTCAAGATAAGGAAGCTGAGGCCCAGAGAGAAAACTGACCTGCTCAAGGCCATAAAACAACCACTGGCAGAGCTAGACTATAAATCTGGGTCTAACAATTTCCAAAGTTGGACCTCTTGGCCTATATTTCTCTACACCACTTGACATTGCCAAGGCTGGAAGCTGGCATTTCCTGGAGTGCCGGTCTTTCCAACTCCCAGCTCAGTGCCTTCATGTCAGTGGCCTCATGATTTGTTATAAAAATCAGCAAAGTGCTGTCAGCCAGCCTTCCTCTTTTGGAGAGCTGGTCTACCAGCTCATCTCTGGCTATCTGATCCAAATGTGTTCTGCTAGTTTTGTTGATTGACTCTTACTAATCCTTAAATTCTCAGAGAACCCCTTCGTCCTCCCGGTCCTCTTTCCCTAAATCCACTCTTTTAAATCCCCAGAAGAGGAGCAAGCAGTCCTCTTGGGCGGGAAAGAAAGCTGCAATTCTCCTGGTGGGCTCTTTTTTAGACTCAAGGCCCCAACGTTGTCTGGGTCTTTCCACCTCATGGGTCCTTACTCCTCACAGACTGGCCCCTGAGAGCCCAGGGCAATCTACCACCCATGAAAAGCTCTTCCCAGGGTGATCTGTGGAGATGTGAGTCCTCCCTTTCCTGCGTGCCTCCTCTTTCCCCATAACCTCTCAGAACTGTAATTATCAAGGAAACGGAGGGTGTCTGGTAAGTTTCTCTTCTCATGCCTCTCTTCTAGCTTGGACTGGGGGTTTGTGTCCACGCAAGAGCTCCGAGAAATTCTTGGGCACAGCTCAAAGACATGGCAGGTGGTGTTCGATCATGGGACCCCCACCCTATCACAGAACCCCCCCCACCCTCGCAACCCCATAGGACGACCAAGCTGCTTGTAAGCCAGGGTGGCAACAAATCTTTCAAGAGGCTGTTTGAAAATGCTTTATGGCACGTAGGGTTATAAGGCTCTAGCTGAACAAATGGAAAAATTAGTCTACCTTAAAATATCCAAGGCAAGTAATTTCCTATCACCTTGTTTCTTAAATGTACTTAACATCTAGAATCTGGGCTTCCCAAAATATGGATAAGGGTCATGAGTTAAAATGGCAACTTGGATATAAAAATCTCCTGCTTTAACAGCCGCTCATAAAATGACACCATCGGCCCTTCTGTTTGGAATGGGGTGGGTTGGGCGGGGGTGGTCAGGAGTCCAACAGCAGTTACTAAGTGTTCTTGAATTTCACAGGCCTGAGGTAGCCTCTGAGCAGGGCTTTTACCCTGAGTCCACCAAGGCTCAGCCTCAGACACTCTGCTCTCTCCACAAGGGCTTCCCAAGGCCTCATACTGGGGGTTTGCTTTGGTTTTGCTTTTTCTTACATGAAAGTTTGCTTTTCTAGCTCCTTTCTCCAAATTTCGAAACTACTTCTCGGCCTGTGAATGGAGTTACTGGTGACAACCACAGCTTCTTTTCTCAGTCTGCTTATTTTCTTGTATTCTTTTCCCTTTTTGTTCTCCTATTCCTCTTTCTTGAATCTTTTTGCTCTTCTTTTCCTTCTCTTCATTCATTCAGTTTATTCATTCACTCATTCATTTACTCCATTCCATTCCTTCAATAAAGATTTATTAAGTAATGTTTATGTACCAGGAACTAAGAGTGCTAATTCCTAGGAAAAAAGCAGTATACCAGTCAGGAATTTTGCCTGCAAAGAGCTTACTCTTTGGGGGCAAGGGTGCCATAAAGTGTAAGCAGAGGGGAAAGAGCAGAGCACTGTGGGCATGCACAGGACCTGCCCTAAGAGTTGAAGAAGGCTACATTTGACCTAAGACCAGATGAGCAGGAGTTGGGAGAGAGAAGTAAATGGGAAAAGTATCCCAGACAGAGCCAACAGCAGGTGCAAAGGCCCTGAGGCACAAGGCAGTATAGCTCCACGAAAGGGCTGAAATTAGCGCTGTGGCACTGAAGCATGAGGTGACTAGTGGCAAGAGACATGGCTAGAGAAATCAGTAAGGGGCCAGATACTGGAGGGCCTAGCCCACCATGGCAAGGAGGTTAGGATGGATTTAGAAGGTGTTAGAAGTGTTGGAGCAGCGAGTGACATAATGAATAAAAGAAAAGAAATGAAGGGTTAAGCCATTCTTCACCACACATCAAGGGAACAGTGGCCTCTGAGTTTCCCAAGATGCCTGGTGTCATTATCAAATGAGTAAGCTGGCCCTAATGTTGACGACCGGGGGCGGGGGTGGGGGGAGGGTGGCTATGACTCACAGGGATCTGAAAGTAAATCAGCCCTATAACTACAAATGGACATGAGAATAACTGGATTCTCTGGGGCTCACTGCAGTTGGTCTTTTTTGAGGAGGTGAGGCTGGATACTGAGATACGGTGTCTGCTGAACATTATAACATCTTCCCGGTACCTTTTGGCGGGCGAATTACTTCACAGACCATGAATATGAGTCACTAAATTCTAAACCTTGGGCAAGAAAACAAAGTTTGATAAATGTGTCCAGCTATTGGAATAAAGACCCAGAGCACAAACAAATCAAGAAGTTCAGACTGTGCCAACACACAAGGAGCCCCAGACCTGTGCTTAGTGTGGCACACGCATACACACACACACACACTCAGTCCTGCACACACTCACACATGCATGCACACACACTCACATACACACACGCCCTCCCTTTCTCTCCTTGAAATATCCGTTGCAAACGATTCCTAATATACCCCATGTCCAAAAGGTGACAAAATTAAAAGTGACCAAAAGATGAGGTAGAGTACATTTTGGAAAGTTGGGGAGGGGGTAGCTCATTTAAGAGGGGGAAAAAAAAGAAATAAGAAAAAAAAAATCAATCAAGAACCATGAATCCAAAAATCTCATCTTCTTCAAAATGTTCTAGTATTCTGTGGATTTATTATATCTCCAAAATTCCTGTAGTATTTTTTATGGGTTTAAAGGAAACTACTACACACATCTCATTTTATTCTCTAGAAAACCTTGAGGAAGTGACTAAGAAGGTCTGGCCTTTAATTATGGACCAAACACCTAGGATACAGAACTTAAAATCCTTGTAATGGTGCATAAAACCACACCAGAGGCCTGATTAGCTTGTCCAGTGTTAATTAGAACTCTTCTTAGGCATTCTCTCCCACCGCCTACTTCATGACCCGAAATAGTCAAGCCTAATTTTTCAAATATATGTTAAATCCAAGAGGCTTAAAAAAATATATAAAGGCAGATTAAGTGGAGAAGAGGCTACGAGGGAAGATCTCGCAGTTGGTCCTCAGACTGAGCCTCTCAAACCAGCAGTAGCAGAAAATCCTCTCTGATCTTTTGTTATGGAAGACTTCTCTGGATAACCCAGACTCTTGTGTGCATTTTTTAAAGAGCCAGCATCTTTCAAAATGGCACCCTCCAATAACCAACAACTCCCAGAAACAGTGAACGTCACCATCATTTGTCAAGAAAATTTGGTAACATTTAAAAGACGTTTCCCAAGAAAGGACCTCCTCCCTGCCATGGAGTTTTCTTGAGTCAAACTCCAATGGCCATTTCTGTCAGGAAAGCTGCCTCTGGTGAGGAGTTGAAAATGAATCTATTGTGGCAAAACAGAAAATTTTTTGGTGGAGGGGACAGAATTAAACTTTGATAGTTTTTCTTCCTTTTCTCAATTGTACTTTTGTTCATAGCTTCAGCTGGGAGAGAGAGCACACATTTAGTTTAGAGTTTATGAGTTCATATTTTATAATTAACGTTGCCAACAGGGGAGTTTGATTAATACCACGCAGTGGATTTTGAGCAATGTTCCATACAAATTGCCAAATTTAGCAATAAAATAAATTGGTTATGTGAACATAATTAGTGGGATGACTACTTAAAATTCAAAACCGAATGTGAATAATTCCAAATCATCTGAGCCACAAATCCATTATTTGTAGAGAAGGGGGAAAGTATAGCATTTTGGGTTTTATTTTGCCCTCAACCTCAAAGTTATTCACCACCCAGCTGAACATAATGAAATTCCCGCAATGGGTTGTGGCAATATTTTAGAACAACCCAGAAGCATGCACATACGCGTGCGCGCACACACAAAGGGAATGTCATAAAGGTAAGAAATGCTAAACTGTGAATTTTCATTGCGAATGTAAAAATCTATAACAAATTTTTCAGCAAATGCGGCATTACATTTTTCTGATGTGCTATACCTAAACTTCTAAGCGCACAATTACACAGCAGAGCTTTTTCCCTTTAAATATTCCCAGTACCTTATTGTCGCCCTGGACTTCTGCAAGCCTTTGCTGAAGTTCTTTAATTTCTTCTCCCAGATGTTTATTTCGGTCCTGAGAATCTCTCAGTAGTTGTGCAAGATTAGCCTGGAAATGTCAACATATTAGGGAATACAATCAGAAACACAGGAGCGGATAAATGTGGGGCTTTGTTAGGCTTTCCGAGGCTGGCGTCCAGGCCGAGTGGAGCCACGCAAAGCGCATTAGATCAATGCATACGTGAGCATGGCAAGTGTGCAAATCACACCATGACAACTGCATGGAGGGGAACAGTGCTGACTGTGAACCTCAGCACGGGGATGCTCTTTGTTTCCAGAAGGGCTCACAGACAAGTAACGGAGGCATCAGTTGTGTTTGACTTTTTAGAAAACTAATGTTAAGGGTTCCACACTAAAAATCTTACAAGTGGATGTAGAGTTCAGTTCTAAAATTTGAGCCAAGAATACAGGAAAAAGCTTCATTTCCTCGTTTAGTTTTCTTCCCCTTCAAATGGAACTGGTTTAGTGAGCTTTGCTTTGCTACCTCAATGCCCAGAATTTCAATCACGAGATGAGGCAGCCAGAGAGGGGATGAGGAATGAGCCACCACTTCAGAAATCAGGGTCCAGAGGTAACCCAACAGTCTCCTAGGCTGGTTTTTTTCACCTCCTTATTCCCTGCTCTGGTCCCCCGGTATCAGGACCATTCACCCGCTGGTCCTGGCTTTACGACATCATCGCTTCTGTAGGGGGTGCCTCCTGCTCGACCCAGGTCCCTCCGGCCCATGTGGACCACTCTCCATGCACCAGCCTCCCCCTCTCAAGCCAGCTGCACCTCCCGCCATCACAGCCCCCTTTCCCAGAGCATGTGAGCACCTCTTACCACGCTCCCACCCCTTTCACAGGTGCCCTGAGCCCAGAAACGCGGTCACGTGGCTGCTTGTCATACAGCCCTATTTGTATTTTGCTAGCTGCCACTTGCTCTGGGTCTTGCCTTGCTAGTTGCCTTCTACTCTAACCTTAGTGAGAAGACTGAAAGCTACAGAAAGGCAGCGATTCTTTTCTCTCCTTCCTCGGCATGTGTATCTGTTGCTCCAGGAAGGGCTCGTGTTCCAGCAAATGTTTTAAAGACTCATGATGAATAAATGAAGGAAGGAAGGAGGGAGAGAAGCAAGCAAGCCATGAGAATATGGCCTTTGGGGAACCATTTGGAAATAGTTGTACAGGGGATTTTTAAGATTATCTTGAAGATTCCTTTCATGTTATAGCCAAAGAAACCCAAGTCCAGAGGCATTAGGGGACTAGTCTAAGTGCAGTGGCCAAATCTCCAAAGACCTCAATGCTCATACTTTTGGGGGCACTCCTTGGCTGGCTCAGTCAGTACATTCAACTCTTCATCTCAGGGTCATGAGTTCAAGCCACACATGGGGCGTGCAGCCTATTTAAAAAAAAATAAAGAATTTTTTTAATGCTAATACTTTGGGGAATACTCAATGATGTCAGGTACTAAAAAAAGAACGAAGGTGAAAGAATAAAAAATTTAAACCTTGGCTTGGCTCATCCCCGACTCTGCACTCTGTCTCATCTCCCATATCCCATCTGTTGGGGTATCAGGTTGTCTCTAGCCTCAGGTTCTTCCCTACTCCAGTTCAGCTCCCCCCAAGTTTACTTTCTCGCTGTTCCCCAAGCATACCAAGCATCCTCCCATCCTGGTGCTGTTGTTCTATACTCTCTCATGGGAATGCTCTCCCTCCAGAATACCTCTTGGCTCCCTCTCCCTCTTACCTTCTTCAGGCCTTTGTGCAAAAGCCACAGTCTCAACAGGGCCCACCTGGACCACTCGAGCTAACACTACAACCTGCTCACCTCCACCCTGATCTTCCAAGCCCCTTCCCAATTTTTTTTCTTTTGTAGCCCATGCCACCTTTTAAGATACCATGTAATTTATTTCATGGCCTACTGCTTATTACTTATTTCCTGCCTCCCTCTCTCTACAAAAATAGAAGTTCCATGAAGGGCAAAGAACTTTGTTCTCTCTATGGATCTGCCCCAAGCACCTAGTAGATGCTCCATAAATATTTTCTAAATGAGAGACAATATGCTGAGTCTGGAGGTTATGGTCTCAGCCTAGGGAAGAATATGGAATATTAACAATATGTACCAACACTGAAGCCAGTGCTGGGCACAGAGTCTTGTGTGGAAACCTGACCCATCCCCACTGGCTGGATTTAACCAAGCCCCGTATTACTCGACAATGCAATCTAATTTTCAACCTCGTATGTGCAAGGTTCATATTTTAGAATAGTTGTATTCTGATTTTCCCAGATTTCTGTTCTTATCAGATAAAATTTGGTGAAGGATGCAGAAAATTAATTCCCATCTTACACTTAAAAAAGGAAATTAGATCAATTAAGCTGGATCCCAGTTCTGCCACTTACAGGGCTGGGTGACCATGGGTGAATTCCTCAACCTCCTGAGTGTCCCCATCCATAAATGTGGCTAACCACATGTACCTCGTGTGGTGATGTGATACCCAAACTGAATAACGAATGAACATAGGACACCTACCACAGTGCTTCGTATACAGTAGGTCCTGGTTTAAGGGTTGGTTAGCTCCTCTTGACTGTGTCCTTCCAGTGGCCCCAACTCAACCACTCAGCGAACAGCTGGGTAGACATGGCCAAATGCCTCCTTGGACACAACTGGCTCTTTAGTGATCCTGCCCCTTCACTGTTCCTTACTCATCTGTTCGCTTATACAACAAATGTTTATTGAGCACCTACCATGTTCCAGGCACTGTTTTAGACTCTGGAGATACAGCAGTGAGCAATACAGACAAAATGCCTTGCCCTTGTAAACTCACATTTGAATAGATGATATTACATTAGTTACATTATGTTGCCATAAAATATAGAATGACCCAGTGGTTGGATGACGAGAAAAATGAAGTGGGCAAAGGGAACAGAGTGTGTCCAAGGAAAGGACCACATTTAAACCAAGATTTAAAAAAGCAGAGAGAGCCAGCATGAGCCTTGTGGATGGGAGGGCGGCAAGTTCCAGATAGGGGAAAAGGCACCCAGCTTCCCTCGCTCCCTCTCCCGTCACATCACACAATTCCCGATTTCCATTCTGGAGAGCAGTTCAAGGACACAAGAGCAGGCCGACCCCAGGGACCGAAGTGCAGTGATAATTCAACTCTTGTCTTCGCTTTCCCAGTTCCTCCCCTCCATCTGCAGCTCTCCTTCCTTAGCACACGGTAGCCCAAGTGGGCTGCCTCTGCTTTCTCTCCACGGAACCCCAGAACATTTCCCAGACATTGGCTCAGCAAGCATAATCCCTCCTTCACAGACCAGAGGGACTGGCCCCACGGAGGGGCGGGGAAGCAGCAGTTCAGCACCCCTCTGCAGGAGACACAGACAAATTCTGCTTCACGGCACCTGCCTCTTCCTAACCAGTGGAAGGGGTGCTCAGGAACAAATGCTCGTAAGAGTGACAGTGAAGGGGATCAAGAGCACGCTTGTCGTGACCAGCGCAGAGTACTGTATAGAGTTGTGGAATCATTACTATACACTGAAACTAATATAACACTGCATGTAGACTATACTGGAATTAAAATTAAAATTGTAAAAACAGTACCAGTGGAAACTTAATAGCAGACACCCCTCCCCGAAATACCTGCAATGTCCTTAGTCTTTCCTTTTTGTTTTTTGGGTGTTTTTAAGATTTTATTTATTTATTTGAGAGAGAGAGAGAGCACGAGCAGGGAGAGAGGGAGGGAGAAGCAGGCTCCCGGCTGAGCAGGGAGCCTGACGCGGGGCTCGATCCCAGGACCCCGGGATCATGATGAGCCGAAGGCAGACGCTTAACCGACTGAGCCACCCAGGAGCCCCAATCTTTCCTCTTTGAGTCAACAGTGGCTTGAGCCCCTCAGGTAGTGGGAAGACCTGATGTTCACTCACCAGCCTCAAGTAGTAGCTAAACAAGTACAACTTGATCTGTCAGTGGGGAAGGGCTGGTTTTCTGCATCCCACCCAGCACAGAGTAGAACTCTTGTAAAATACAATAAAAATCAATTTCTAGAAAAATGAATTTGGGCGCCTGGGTGGCTCAGTCGGTTAAGCATCTGCCTTTGGCTCGGGTCATGATCCCAGGGTCCTGGCATCGAGTCCCATGTTGGGCTCCCTGCTCAGCAAGGAGTCTGCTTCTCGTTCTCCCTCTCTTCTGCGTTCTCTCTCTCTCTCTCTCTCAGTAAATAAATACAATCTTTAAAAAAATGAATTTAAAGTGACATCAGGATAAAAACCCCAAGTGTTTGGTAGAGTCAACAGACATAAAATCATGCTGTCAAATTGCCACAGATGTTTCTGAACACTTCCTCAATTTCTGTGTTTATCGTGGACCAGAAGCCAGTAGCCTGCCCCCCCAGCATGGTCCTTGAGCCTTGCTTTGAAAAGCACCAAGCTCAACGGGCTCCCAGGTACTTGGCTATTAGCGCAGGGCAGGTACCCGGTATACACATCAAAGGTTCCAGTGCTACGTGAAGCAGAGGACAGAGCTGCTCCAGAAAACAACGATTTCTGGAGCCAGTGATGTGACTGCCAACCATTATTTACTCGGCAGCTGGCTGAAAAGAATTCTACCAAAATAAAGCCAGGCATTTGTATACTAGCCGCAGAATGGTGGTCAATTAGGAGCACAGAGCCTCCACGCTGGGCTCTAGGAAATCTACCCCGGCTTTGAAACTGACCCCCGCGGTAGGGTCGGGTGGGGGAGGCACCCTGCTTCAAAGCCGGTGGCTGTAATTTCACATTTCCCAGCCTGGGTTACTTGTCAACACCCATTTCTTTTCTATTCAGTCTTTTCAGTCCTTCTGCCTCCTCAACTCCAAAACAATAACTTCAGGAACTGGAAAATGACTGCTCTGATAGGGCACCTAATTCCTTGACATATACCTTAAAGAGGGGGGGAAAAAAAAAAGAAAAAAAGAAAAGAAAGAAAAGTAGTCCATTTCGAAGCACTCAAAATAGAGGAGAAAAGTTCACACGATTCTTTTGACCAAAAATAACACCCATGACTCACACACGCTCACTCTAACAATCCATCAAGCTAA